CACAATATTGACGTAATTTACAATGAAGCGGTTTCTCGTTCAATCAAAACTCACAACCTACCGTTGATACTTGATTGTTATCGTTTAAGAATATTTATGTGAGCGGAAGGAAGGAATGCCCGAAGCACTGTTGTTGCTATTTTGTTGTGAGGATTATTATGAGTCGCTCACATTAGTAAATGATTTGCGGTGTGTGATTTGCGCTGTATTATCAACTTAATAATTGGATCCTTTTGACTACCGTAGTAATTGTTCGATTATTCTGAGCCACTCCTCAAATGGTGCTTCACTAGTATTACGTCGAAATATATCTGAAAGCTGACTGCATATGCCACTGTGCATTGTTTAATCATTCCATGCCGATGTCGACTAAAACTGATTTGCGATTCAGTTTAAGAGGGTATACTGCGGTTTTGTTGAGTAATTACTAACCTTATTTATCCCCATCAGCATTAGCCTCGGTGTTGCTAACTGCATAATTGAGTTTGCGCCGTGACTTTGACGTAAGCTGAGGCTTAGACAGTGAGGTACAAACTACACATTACCACTCTGAACTGCGAATTCGCTTCTCTCTATACTAGTTCGAAATAGTCCATACCGATATCAGCAGTGCGTCACTCTGGGCGCTAACATATTAATTTTTTACTAATTTCCAAATAGCAGGTAATTGTCCATATGCTAATAGTAATGTGTGGAAATATAAATTGCATAAGCTGATGAAATTTGATTGACTGATCGATTGATGCAAGTAGTGCTTAATCTAAATTCAGTTCCAAGGTAGAAGGGTGATCAATTTTGTGGTGGCATATCTTAAACGAAGCAACGCAAAACGTTATCTACTGTAGCATGCACAAAGGTTAATCAAAAACCTACGAACCATCGCCCTAATGAAATAGTGATAAAAGGGACCTATAAATCCGCCACAGAAAGGTATATTTTCTGTGCTGGGAAATCCTTTGGGATCTCGTTAGTCGTGTTCTGACAGGAAAATATGGATTAAGCTCTCATTGGTTTTCATTCTGAACGGAGAATGCAGTTATTTCACTTAGTACATTCGGCGGACTATAGACAAAGGATTTTCACGTCGATGGTTTTTATAGTTCAAATCGGTACAGTGGAATGAGTGTTGTTTGCTTTTCAGGATGCCACATCGAGCAAATTCAGGTGTGTCGCTTGCTTTAGATTCGCTTAATTAATTAATTTGCTTAATATAACTTACGCTTAATCTCCTAATTCTTGATATGAATCGTTGACCGAATTTTGATTCATTTGCAAATGGTTTATTTCTATTTAATTCCAGCTCACTTGTGGGTTTTTTAAACGCAATATAATAAGCTGCCTTTTACTAAGGCGTTCAATGCATGTCGCCTACGTGCGGCTTAGAAACTCAGACTGGCTCTCTTTAAAATTATCGGCTGCGTCAGAATCCGGTTATTTTCACTCCAACTATCCGTTTATAAAAAAGATTAGTCTACAAGAAAGATATTGACTTCAGATGTAGTGGATGGAGTGAGGGCTATAGGTCAAGCATGAATAGTGAGTAGACGACGAGATACGGTCGGACGGTCCATGAGGGTTGTACAGCCATACGGGCCTTTACTGTAACTAGGCGTTTAACAGCGCATTGCGAAGTTGCAGAACAATTTAAAACGAGTAACTGCTTAAAAAATCATTCGTCTTTACAATCTTGCAGAGTGTAGATGTCGATTCCAATTATCGTATAAAACTTTTATTAATCCTTAACTCCTTTGAGCAAGGAGTCCATTCCATTCTGCTTCAGGGGAGGCAACCAATGTCAAGTAATTGAATGACGATTTATTTACTATAGAGAGCTTGGTGCCGTGGTGTAGTCATGCCAGAACGTAGGAGACATACAGTATTCAGTAATTATTAATTAATGCAATCAAGGAAGGTGATTCGTTCTACTTTCAGCATTCGAACACGTATATGAGGTGTACAACGGCAAGACAATTATCATGCAATACCTAAAAAACAAGATACAGCAGCTGAAATCAGAAGCATTCATCATCAATTTTTGTTAGTTCATGCTGAATGAAGGAATTTCCAAGACTACACGACGTTATATACATTTATTTTCTGCCATTTTCACACATCTTAATCTAACAAACTTTTTCAGTTTATCTTACCATAGACTTGATCTTCCTACGGGCCGTTTACTCTGTCTTGGAACCCGGTATAATCTCTCTCTTGCCCAGCCCTGTCGATTTTTCTTTCATAGTGTCATTGCATTGCTACTTTAAATTCTTCACTACAGCAATGCCATCGCAAGCCCTTGTTTGTTCACTTATTCATTCATCCTCCCATTTCTGTTTTATGCTTTTCCAAACATACGTATTTTCATGAGGCATTGCGTAGTCTTAAGTTTTCTAAATGGCTTTCAGGCTTAATCTGCACACTGTAGATCCAGAGCGCGTACAAATGGAATATAGTTCATTTCAAGCACAAGGGCAGTCAGCCCAGTAGGAACATTGACAGTTGCCTAAACGTGCTCCAAGCAATTTATATTCCTATGCTGAGTTACAAAGTCAGCTATCAGTTGCAGAGATAAGATGTGCCCTTCCTCAAGGATGCGTCCGTTGATTTTGACAGGTGGTGCTTTCGAGTGTTTGTTAAACATTGCTTTGTCATCTGCAGGTTCATTTACAGCCATATCGGCGTCATTCAGCTTCTGGATTGTTCTTTTTAATTTTCTTGTGGCCCCTGAGAAGATCAGAATCTTACCCACGAACAGTAGCTTGCTTAAGTAGCCCAG